TTCCTCCAAGTTGACAGAGCACTTCTAGCATCACTCTTCTACATTGTATGTTACTATATAAATACACCTGGGGGAGATTTACTAAAACTGGTGCACTCAAAATGCGCATGGTAGCCAAACAACTTCTAAACTCAGCTTGCTCAATTACGCTTCGACAATGAAAACCTGGAAGCTGATTGGTTTCTATTCACAGTTGCACCAGATTTTGCACTCAACAGTTTTAGAAAGTAACCCCCTAGATTCCTAAGTCTTGGGAGTTATAATCTTGTTCTCCCTACACATTCAGAAAGTAGTGAAGCCACTGGTTGAGCTCAATAGCCAGACAGCTAACATTTCCAGAAAAAGCCCAACAATGGCAACGCATGCATTTTCTTGAGAATTTTAAAGCTTTCCATTCTTTTACTAAATATTAATATATTAATAGATATTGTCTACCACATGGAGCCCAATGCACAGATATGCTCAGCTTCTAATATTCCTCACTGTTTTCCTCCAGCGTAGGGAAGTGTATCTTGTGATTGTCGGAGAATGAACCGTCCTCTCCTGGGATTCCCACATCTTGTCTTTCTTGTGATGTTCAGCTCTAATTTTTTCCGCGCCGCTCTCAGTTGTCAGACCCCCCCACTGTCTGTGAAAATCACACAGAGGCACCTTCAGGAGGCTTGCTTTCATTCCACATGCAAAATTAATTCATTGACAATGTGAGACAACAGCTTACTCATCAAGTCATACAGGTATGTGTCCTCACAATCACAGTGTTGGAGACACTCTACCAGGCAAATTAAGGGTAGGAGGAATTCCAAGCCCCTAAAAGAGCTGCCTTCTGCATCCATTCTGCTTACCTACATATTGAAATGGAGGAAATAACTATCAAAAATTGTCCATTCTGTTGCAGAAGGAATATATACTCACCGGCCACTTTATTAGGTACACCTTACTAGTGCCAAGAAAATCTCCCCCACACCATGACACCACCACCAGACTGAACCATTGATACAAGGCAGGATGGATCCATGCTTTCATGTTGTTTACACCAAATTCTGACCCTACTGTTGCCTTTCTATCATCTTGAACCAGTCTGCTAATTCTCCTCTGACCTCTGACATCAGCAAGGCATTTTCATCCACACAACTGCCACTCACTGGATATTTTCTCTTTTTCGGACCATTCTCTGTAAACCCTAGAGATGGTTGTGCATGGAAATCCCATTAGATCAGCAGTTTTTTGAATACTCAGACCAGCCCATCTGGCACCAACAACCACGCCACGTTCAGAGTCACTTAAAGTGATTCTAAAGGCTTATTTTCTTTTTAAATAACAAACATGTCTACATTTACCTGCTGTGTGCAGTGCTTTTGCACAGAGCAGCCCAGATCCTCCTCATCTCGGGTCCCCAACAGGCACTCCTGGACCCTCCCTCTTGTCAGGTGCCCCCCACAGCAAGCACCTTGCTTTCGGGGCACCTGAGCATGCGCACTCACCAGCTGCTACTCCGTATGTCCATTCACACACGGAGCCGGATTTGGCCCCACCCCTTCTGTCTTCTGAATGGTTCCTGCTGCTGTCTCAGCCAATGAGGATAGGTAGTCCCGGGACAGCCTCCAGTGCACATCACTGGATTGAGAGGGGGCTTAAGTGAGTATTGGGGGTGCGGGGGGAGATGCTGCACAGAGTAAGTTTTTTACCTTCATGCATAGAATGCATGAAGGTAAAAAACCTTGAGCCTTTACAAACACTTCAAATCCCCTTTCTTCCCTATTCTGATGCTCAGTTTGAACTTCAGCAAGTCGCTTTCACCACGTCTACATGCCTAAATGCATTGGGTTGCTGCCACGTGATTGGCTGATTAGAAATTTGTTTTGCCAAGCAATTGAACAGGTGTGGTGCCTAATACAGTGGCAGGTGAGTGTAAGTGGACATTTTGCTAAAATGCATTGAAGTCAATGGAAAATGTGAAATTAAAGCATATGAAAACCTAAAATCAAAAATGTAATATTTTGAGGCTTACCAGTTCAGTTCTTGACCTGAAAGTGATCTTAAGGGTTCCTCTATATTTAGAAAGGCTGCCCTAAACCACTGCATTACATAGCGGGAGGTATTCTGCAATTAACCCAGGTTTGCTGGGAAGGCTGAGAACATTTCTAAAGATTAAAGTTTAGTACACAGGAAGTTACAATGATACTGGGTTTCTGGCAGGATCAACTGGAAATTTCCTGTACTTGCAAAAAATGCACTTAGTCTGAAAAAAGAAAGCTAATGCAGCCACAACTTCAAACACTGGTAATAACACATTTGTATTCTTGGGTTTAGAAATTCTTCTAGGTGATTTTAGGTGGATATTAAACACTTCAGCTCTGGAAGGTTTTACCCCATTCATAACCAGGTAATTTTTTTGCTATTTAGCACTGCGTTACTTTAAATGGTAATTGTGCGGTCATGCAGCACTGTACCCATAGAAAATGTATGTCATTTTTTTCACACAAATAGAGCTTTCTTTTGGTGGTATTTGATAACCACTGGCTTTTTATTTTTTACTATATAAACAAAAAAAGACCGAACATTTTGAAAAAAAAATATTTATTTACTTTCTGCCATAAAACATATCCAATAAAAAAATTTAAAAAAAAATTGAATTTCAACATATATTTAGGCAAAAATGTATTCTGCTACATTTCTATTTTAAAAAAAAGCCAATAAGTGGATATTTGCATTAAAGTTATAGTGTCTACAAACTATGGTATATATACTGTAATTTTTTTTTTATACTACTAATGGCGGTGATCAGTGAATTATAGTGGGCCTGTGGTAGTGTGACGGGCAATCTGACACGAACTGACACTGGTTGAAATCTGACTATCTGACACTGACATCACCAGTGACACTAATACAGTGATCAGTGATTATACTATACACTGACACTGTACTAACCCACATGGAAAAAAATACAAATCTACATTTTGGAATGCATTTACAAATATATGTAGAAATATATGTTAAAATTACTTTTTTCTATGTTAAAAAAATATGAAGAATATAGTTTAAAAATATATATTTTTTAAAATATATTTTTTAAAAATATATCCTTCAGATTTTTTTTAACATAGAAAAAAGTAATGCTAACATAAATTGTAAATGTAGATCTGTATTTTTACAGTATATTTGAAATGTATTTTTAAAAATATTTTTCATATATTTTGTAATAAAAACACATTTCAATCAACATGCAGTATATATTATATATATATATATATATATAATATATATATATATATATATATATATATATATATTGAAATATATTGAATATGGCCAAAATTGCAGTATTTCAGATATATGGCAATATGTTTGAGAATAATATTTTAAAAATATATTTCAAATATATTCTTCTTCCATATGGGAATGACACTGGGAAGGGGTTAACATCTCAGGTAAACAAAAGTTTAAGTGTGTGTCTAACATGTGTTACTTTGTGTAATGTGTGCAGCTTTTAACTACAAATTTTGCTTTCCAGGGGGAAGAAACAGAGAGATTTTTCCATCTGTACAGAGCCCTGTGTTGATTGTCAACACTGAACTCTGGACTGTGATTGGACACAGCTGATCAGCAGGTCCCGGGCATTAATCATTGGCTGGGACCTGCTGACAATCTCCCGTTGTGTACAGTCGCAGCAGGAGTAGGCAGGCAGGGGTGCAGAAGCACGCCCTTTACCTAGAAGAGGCCAGTGATGTACAGGTCCTTCAGCGGTTAAGGGTACAATGGACTTTAAATGGCTCCTGAGGATTATTGAAGGTTTAGTCCAACTAATCCAGATTTCTTTTTGTGCCATAAACAGATGAGTCAACAGCCTTATAATTTTACCTTTTTAGTAAAAAAAAAGACAAAAATGAGCAGACAGTAAAAAAAAAAAAAAATCAAGCAACAGTACACAAATACACAGAAGACTAAATAAAACTTTGTCGATTATAGAAGAAAAAAAGAAAAAAGAAAACACCTTCTGAAGAGTTTTGTTGATCTCACATTTTCCAGATAAACTTTGCTCATCCCTTATTATAATTATGGCCAAGCGGAACATTTTCAGGGAGACTTCAGCAGTGGCAGCCCTCATATTTTTATCATGACAGGTTTCCTTTAAAAAAGGAAGCCCTATTAAACGAAGCCCTACTAGAGCGACTGTGGGTAGCAGTTGGCTTTCTGAACACGCAATGAATAAATTATTCAGCTGAAGTTTAATTTACTTTTTTTTTTCTGCGGTTGTGAAATCCCAATCATTTGCGCTTGCTGTGAGAGACATTTATTATGCAAAAATCTCATGGACATGTAAATGTAAATCATATATGTTGTACATACATATGACTGGCGATTTCACGCTCGTTACGGATGAAAACGTACACAGCTGAGTATGTCTTTTCTAATGCTGACACTATATCATTCTGATGAGGTTCCGCTCTGTAGTATAAAAACGTATATACATATTTTTCAGTCCTGAACCAGAAAGGGAACTAAATATTCCTATCGGTATCCTAAAATAGAAATGTATTTATGTCAAATAAACACTTTGACGATTTGCATGATTTTGGTTTGGAATTCATTATCGTTTTAGTAGTCTTAAACATAAAACAATCTGTGTTACTGTTCCAAAATCTCATTTCTTGTTTTGTGATTCAATTTAACACTTTATGGCCGTATTTATAAAGCAGCCAATGTGGCTTACTCCACATTTTCACTGGCGGTGGATCAATCACTGTCATGGGTTTACATGCACTAGGAAGATTCACCTACATCGAATGCTTAGTCAATGTCAGATTTACTGCTTATTAGGAGTACTGTAGTCTAGTCTAGAATCCAGTTTTACTTGGCACTTGTTGTACTTGGTGATGGCCTTGGTGCCCTTGGAGACTGCATGCTTGGCCAGCTTTCCAGGCAGCAGCAGGCAGATGGACCCAGGAGGTGATGGTGGAGTGCTTGTTGTAATGAGCCAGGTGAAAAGCTACACTGGTGATTCACTTGAAGATGTCATTGATGAAGGACTTCATGATGGTCATGGCCTTGGATGAGATGCCAGTGTGAGGGTGGACTTTCTTGAGTACCTTGTACAGGTAAATGGCATAACTGTCCTTCCTGCCCTTCTTCCGCTTCTTACCATCCTTCTGGTTCTTAATCATGGCTTTATTGAAGCCCTTCTTGGGCGTCGAGGCAGACTTGGCTGGTTCAGGCATGATAGAAACAATGTCTCCCCTCTGTGCAGTGAAGGTCAGATTCACTGCTTTATAAATACACCCTTAGTCACCATTTTATTGGGTGTATCTGCTACTGTCTACCCAGGGCTGTGCCACCAATGGGGACAATTAAGGCAGGTGGCTAAGGATACACTCATGGAGATACAATGGGGGTAGTTTAGACTCTAAAGTGAAAGGGTCACATTAAGGTTCGATGTTTTGTTTATTATGAGACCACTAAGCCTTACTCCAAAAACTCTTTCCAAAGTCAAAATTGCTTAGGTGGGGATTTGGTTTTTCAATACCCACACTCAATTCTACGATGGTGCTGCCATACAATACAAACCTATTACAACAACTGTATTGAAATGTTAGCATTGTGTGCAGCTCTGAGACCAACAAGATTGCGTTTTCCAGCACCCTTTGATGTTCTAAAGCTATTAAAGTTACTCCTAGTTACACTGCCCAGAATACAGAGACACTGTGATTGGCTGCAGTGCAGTCTGGGAAAGGAAAAGCCTGTTGGAACTATGAGGGGGGGTATAGTCTCCAGGAGACAGCCTCTATTAAGAAAAATACTGTATGGGACTACAAGTCCTAGGAGGAATGGTGTGCTATGAGAGGATGAAAAAGGAAGCAGAAGTCTGGGCTGGAGGAGTCTCCCGTTGCTGAGACCCTGCTTGTTATCAGAGTTCACTACTGTGTGATTGAGTCCCTGATATGTGACTGAATCACCCACTTGTACTCCTCAAGGGGCCACCTGTATTAGGATTCACTCAGGCCTAGCACTGGCCATACTTTCAGTCAACAAACCTCTTGTACTTCATTCCTCTCACACCTACGCATGCATGTGTAGCGTGTCTAAGGGTATGCCCAAAGCCCACATTCACCATTCTCCTGGTCTCTCCTGGAAAATGCGCCACTCTGACTGTGGATACCTCTTGGGCCGGGCCCGACATCTTCATGAGATCCCAGGACAGGCTTCCAGATCCCCCTGTCAAGGTCCTACCTTTTCCCAGAGATTGTGCTGCTTCATGTGCTGGTGTCCATCTTGGGTTTCTGCAGAGCATGGTGGGAGTCTTTTATGCCTTCAGACCTCTGAGGTCCATCCCCCAGAGGGGTGTGGCTAATTACATATAAGCCTGTGATCCACACATGCCCTTTGCACTTGTGTCGCTACTGCTCTGTTTATACTCTTGTGACTCTCCTGGAATCTGACTCGGCTTTTGACTGACCATTCTCTGTGTTTTCCTTTGATCTGACCTTCCGTTGCTGAACCCGGCCCGTGACCTGTGATTCTTGTCCACTGTTCTGTATCGTTTTGTCCCGTTGTTGTCGACCCGGCCTGCCTGACTACGCTATTGTCATTCCTACCAGCTACACTCCATTGGCGGTGGCCATTACCGCAGCTGGGGTGTATCGGGGGCCGCGACCTGGTTCCTGGCTGCGTCAAGTCCATCCCCACCATCGGGCCCTGGTGAAGGGCAGCCTGGGACTTAGACTCCGCGCCCTGAGGGACTTCGGTCTGTGGGTGGTGGTTGTCGTCAGTCAGTGCGTTTACAACCTGCCACTAGGTCTGCCTGTCCGTTCCACAGCCCCTGCCCTGACACCCCCATCCACCACCATTCCATAGCACTCCAAGTTGCAAACAGGTGGGTACACCAGGATCCTTTTTTACTATGTGGATAATTTATGAAATGCACTGTCTAGCATAGCTCAGCTGTGTGCTATTCCACTTCTCAGCAGTAAGGTTGCTAAGATTCCACTTCAGACACAAGAAGCAGCCATAGGCTCAGTTCAACTCAATTTTTTTTTAACATTTATCTCAAAAGTTAATTACATAAATATCTCTTCTAATAACAATCAACAGTTTCAATTTGTGCAGCAGCGTACCTTCATGTGCCCATTGGCAGGGATGCCCATCCCAGGGTAGAAAGGCATAAAGATTTTCTCTCCTACCTCTCCTCCCTAGCTGTTCTCTTTCCATTGGCCAGCAAAAGACACTAATCTAAGTTCTTCCAGATATTCATATGATTCTGCCAGAAGGAAATTAACTCATTCTCAGTCCTGGAAGGGGAAACTAGTTTAAGATGCAACATAGTGACCCCTGCCTATAAGTGTGTCGGAGTGGGATTGTGTTGCTGCGCTTGTCTAGAGGCTGCTGCCATTGGAATGACCCGGGAAGCTGCAGTAGAGGGGCATCACTGGTTTAATGAGAGATCCTTACTACAACACTGAGAGTTTGCTGCCAACACCACAGGTATCGGGCACCAGAGAATGGAAGGAGGCTTCACAACAGACTGTATAGTGGTGAGAGGCCGCAGGCTGCAACATAATTACCCTCCTCTTATTGAGACAGTGCCACCCTTACTTAGGACTTATTTTGGGAAAGTATACCCCTTACCGTGGGATTGCAAATTTATTTGAGCACTCTGGGCCCCAACAGTTAGTACTGCCCTGTCCAGTGGGAAGCGTTTTTGAGAGGCTCCAGGACTTTTAAGCCTTCTAGGCAAGTATTGACTCAAGGATCTTCCCCCCTAGATTTAGGATTCAGGTACCCGGAGGGGATTGGGTGCAGAAAAACGTGGTCATTGCATTGTACCTTGTTGTATTGTACAAATGTGTTTTATTTTGCAAATGTTTATTGATGTTGCTGTGTTTTTTTGTTGTTGTTGCCTTGATGGGTCTATAGCTTGAATAAATCCTCCTTTTTTCATCCTTGACATGCTAGAGGGCGTGGCATTGCCAGAAAGATTATTGTCATCCAGACTTAGTGAACCTAAATATAAGTCTAAATATAAGAGTTATGTGTAGTTTTCATTGAATCTTGGTGTGCTTTGTGTATTTCTTCTAGATCTGTGCAGTAATCCAGTGAGAGACTTTACCTCTGTGCAGAGCTTCCTGTAATAAAGACCGGACACTGTTGCTCTCTCTCTTTGTGCAGGGTGACTGGTCTTCTCTCCCGCCCCCTCCTGTAGTTTTCTGCAGGCAGCCTTTAGTGGGTGGAGCCTGCTGGATCCCTCCAATGGCTCTGCTTTCTGCACAAACTATGTACAACACATTGATGATGTCATCTGGGTTTGCAAAGGGATTTGTTGCACACAAAGTTGATTTAATGCATATCCTTTGCGGCTTTTGAGGAATATATTTAAATAAAGTTTTGTGTCCGGAGTTCAGCTTTAAGGACAATCAGAATATTTATTGAATAAATGAAAAGTAACACGATTTCATTTTCCTTTACAGCTTGCTGTTGTGTGTTTTTACACTTCTCACGTTGCATTATCAAAACAAGCCATATTTCTTTACATAATAAATGATCCACAAATACATCTAGATATAGTAGGTTGTTGTGCTGAATGAAGATATATCTTTAAATATGATGTGAAGAGGTTTTAATGGGCATTCTAATGAGAATCTGAGAAATTGCAAAAATAATTTATATCGCAATTATACGCTAATCATCTGGGTTGCTAATTAAATTTATATCCTCTTTGCTCTCCAGTAATGTCTACTTCCTTGTCACCCCTAAATCTCACCATTGAGTGCAATCTATACGTGACTGTCTGAACCTAATTAGTGTTTATTTACATTGTTGTGAACTTTTTTCTGTTGAAGGAAAGTTTTGCCAGCAGTTAAAGGCCTTGTGTCAGAACGAATAAATTAGAAATATATAGCTTCACCATAGGACAACACCTACCAGACTAAAAAAAAAAACATTTTTCTGTGATTGGAGAAAAAAGTACAATAAAAAAATATGCACAACACATAAAGTAAAAAAATATTCTAACTGGTACAAAAAAAAAATTGTTAGTTTTTGGATGCATGCCATCTGTCCTGGATCTGTTGGGACAATCACGTATCTTGGGTCTTTGTCACGGGTCTATGTCCCAGGATCACAGCATTGAGTTTACTTGCACATGTTGCAACAACTGTGAAAGGCATTAGTTGCAGGGATTAAGGCTGCAAGAGGGTGTCCCAACATATTTAGAAGTGGGGTTTAGACAGGACCAACAAATAAAGTGGTTGTGATGGGCAGTCCCACATATTTAGAGGCTGGGTTTGGATGGGACCAACCTGTAAAGTGGGCATGATCTGGGAGCGCCTATCAGGAAAGCGGACAGATTAAATGCAGACCGTGGGTGGGGTTATCAGTGTCACAGAAACTGGGACCATATTATTGGTAAGCAGGGTGCGGACTGACCATTTGGAAACTCGGGCACTGCCTGAGGGCCCGGGGTCAGTAGGGGGCCCCATGAGATGCCCCTGGTACCTTTTTCATAGGTTTTTTTGAGTGTGGGCAAGGACACAGGGGCCTCATGATCCCCTATTGCCCGGGGGGGCCCATGACTTGTCAGTCCGCCCCTGTTGATAAGTATGCTATTGGTGCCAACAACACAGTATATCCGGGCAGGGGGCTTTGACACTTGTCTGACACTTAAAAAGCCCAGTGCAAGCTCCAAGCCACCACACCAGGCTGAGGATTCATGCCTCGCCACTTTGTGACAGTGCTGGGTAACTCTGTGGCCAATCACCAAGCACCAGCACTGTCATATAAAAGGAAGATAAATAAGTCATATGGTCACTATACCCAGAGTTCACTTTACTTGGTATGGCTGATGTCATATGGGAACCCAGATTCACCAGCCAGCCATAAAAAAAAAAACATAGGAAAACAGAAAACAGCTTGTCCTCAGCAGGGACAAACAATACAAACTTGGCTCACCATCTGTAAACTTGTCCCTTGACAGGGTTTTTTGATAGATCCTTCTAAAATCTCTTCAAGTCTCTGAATTTTAGTTCCAAAATGAGGACCTACCAAACCAGAGAGCACTGAAAGTCAGTACTTTCCTCTCTGACTTGACTACCCCACAGTCGCTCACTCTGCATGAGTCAGAACCCCTAAATACTCAAAAAAAATGCATACAAGTCATCCTCCTCAAAGGAGCCACAACCCAAATACCATGGAAATATACAATTTATTGTCAAAAGCATTGGGACGC